CGACTTGAAGACTTGATGATGCGTCTATCTTTGCTGCCATTTGTGGATTTTAAGGACGCATATTTAATTGGATTTACAATAACTGGTTCCTGCTTTTTGGATTTGGCTGGTTGCTGGTTTTATCTACAATCAAGGAAGTCGTCGGAAGCAAATTTGGACCTGATCACGCTGCTTGCCTTTATGATGGCTTGGTTCGTGCCTCGAGTACCCAGACTTAATGCTTTGGGCTGAATGGATCAGATCTCGGGGATTTTACTCAGTCACGTTACATCGTTGGGGTCATGTAATTTGGACATTTCGGAACCGTTTGGACCAACACAGACTCAAGGTAGATGTCACTAAGTTCTGCCTGTCCCCCAAAAAACTGTGTGTTTATCTGAATTTGGCTCCCTTGGCTGGCCTTGAAGGCCATCTTATCTGAATTCACCTGGAAAACATGGGATCTGACGCTCACCACCCCTTCCCTGAGGAATTTCCAACTGATAACCAGATGAAACCAGCTGAATAAACGTGTCATCATTTCAGGACTCTTGGATTCTCATAGTCGTTATTCTTGGCCATTCCTCGACATACATCGAGAATATTAATGGAGCTCACCAGAGGACACTGGCTGATTATCCCATTCTTATCAGAACTCTTACAGTGACCTTGAGAGCATCTATAAACATTGCTCACCGCTCTCATCATCCCCCTCTGCAGAATGTGTACGTCACTATGTGCTTGTTTGTGTCAGGTGTTTTATAATAGAGTTTTTTTCTTCTCAGGCAGGAAAAAAAGTCTGATAGGAATTTTTTTGCATCCAATTCCTACATGTGTCCAGTTTCATTACTTTTTGTATGTCTAAACAGATCTCACTTGTAAATGAGTCTTCTAGGCTCAATGTGACATATCTGTCTAAATAAAGGTTGAATGAAAAAAAAAAATCCCTCAGCAACGGCAGACATCAGCTTGATCCCTTTAAATTGGCTGACTGGCTAAAAAAAAGCTTGGAAGTTCCTGTGATACTAATTAAGTTCAAACAGTTTGAAACATGTCTATAATTACAAAGATAACCTCTTTAGGAGTGTCAACAACATTTTCTTACAATTTTAGCAGATTTTTGTAAATTAAACACATTATTTCCTTTCACATATTTTGTTCATCATATACTAATTATTTGCAGTTGTACAGTAGATAACTGCTTTTAACTGAATCATTTTTTTATGAGAAATGCAGCGTTGTTGCAATAAGCTGTAACAGTACCAACAAATGTACCCGTGTATGTATCTGTATGTACATCTGTATGTATCTGTATGTACTGTACATCTGTATGTATCGTATGTACTGTACATCTATATGTATCATATGTACTATACATCTGTATGTATCGTATGTATGAAAATATCAATATGTGATTAAGTTTTTTTCAAAAATACTGACCTTACACACAAGTTAAATTGGATGGCACTAATCTATGTTAATGACAGTGTAGTATGACAATATATGAGATATATATGCATACTTTTTCACGAGTTCCTCATTTTTCTGACTGTGTAATGTCGTGCATTGAATTTAACAGAAATGTAACGAGAGACGTCATTTATCTTTGACCCATCAAATCAATGCGGTCATTTATTTTCAGAATCAAAGTTTAACATCAAACATTTACATTAATTTGGCAAAATATGAAAATAATAACAGACAAGTTTCACAGGAAATGAGCATCGATCACTCGGCGGTGATCGAGGACTTTGCTTCAGATATTTCTAAAATATCTGTACTGATTTTATGAGAAAGAGGAGAGTTTTAAGATGAAATGGAGATTTATCTTACAGAGAAATATGTGAGGGAATTAATCTGTTTGACCAGAAATTGCACGCTCCATCAGATATCAGCTTGCCCACGGTACACTTGGTCGAAAATAGAACCATCTACCTTGATGATGAACTCAGCGTCGGTGTAGGTTCCTTTCTGACTCTTTTCAGCGTCTCCGTGAGAACTACCAAACCCTCGGGGAGTCGTACGTGGTTTTCAAACAGAAATTATAATCCCAAAACGTCTCTGGATCATCCTGAATGCGTTTGCACCCAAGAACCATGAACTCCTTTCATTCTTCAGAACTTCTCAGACTCTAACAGAATCTTTCAACTCCAGCAACTCTCTAGTTCTTCATCTCCTCAGCCTCTGGAACTATCAGACTCCAGACTCTC